GGCTAACAGACACATGAAAAAATATTCATCATCATTAGCCACCACGGAGATTCAAATAAAAACCACATTGAGATACCACCTTACACCAGTTAGAATGGCCAAAATTAACAAGACAAGAAACAACAAGTGCTGGATAGGATGTGGAGAAAGGGGACCCTTTTACACTGTTGGTGGGAATGCAAGTTGGTGCAGCCACTTTGGAAATCAGTTTGGTGATTCCTTATGAAGTTAAAAATAGAGCTTCCCTATGACCCTGCAATTGCACTACTGGGTATTTACCCCAAAGATACAGATGTTTGAAAAGAAGGGCCATATGTACCCCAGTGTTCATAGCAGCAATGGGCACAACTGCCAAACTGTGGAAAGAGCTGAGATGTCCTTCAGCAGACGAATGTATAAAGACATGGTCCATTTATACAATGGAATATTACACCTCCATCAGAAAGGATGAATACCCAACTTTTGTATGAACCTGGACAGGACTCGAGGAAATTATGCTGAGTGAAGTAAATAAAGCAGAGAAAGTCATTTATCATATGGTTTCACTTACTTGTGCAACATAAGGAATAACAAGGAGGACGTTAGGAGAAGGAAAGGAAGAGTGAATTGGGGGAAATTGGATGGAGAGATGAACCACGAGAGACTGTAGACTCTGAGAAACAAACGGAGGGTTTTAGAAGGGGGGGGGCTGGGGGATTGGGTGAGCCTGGTGGTGGGTATTAAGGAGGTCATGTATTGAATGGAGCACTGGGTGTGGTGTATAAACAATGTATCTTGGAACACTGAGAAAAGAAAATTAAATTAAAAAAACTTGTTAACATAATAGTTGGAAAGTGCATTCTCTCTTTTTTTTTTTTTTCCTTTTTGCTATCTGGCAGTCTGTGTAGCATTAGTGCTATTTCCCTCTTAACTGTGTTGAAGAATTCACAGATGAAGTTATCTAGACAAGAGTATTCTTTGTGGGAAGGATTATAATTATGTATACACTTTATTTAATACAAAGCTTCCCGGGGCGCCTGGGTGGCTCAGTGGGTTAAGCCTCTGCCTTCAGCTCAGGTCATGGTCTCAGAGTCCTGGGATCGAGCCCCACATCGGGCTCTCTGCTCAGCAGGGAGACTGCTTCCCTTCCTCTCTCTCTCTGCCTGCCTCTCTGCCTACTTGTGATCTCTGTCTGTCAAATAAATAAATAAAATCTTTAAAAAAGAAAAAAAATACAATGCTTCCCAAACATTAATGTGTATGTGAATTACATGGGGATCATGTTAGAATTCAGATCCTGTTTCAGTAGGCTTGTGTGAGACCTGAGATTGCCTTTCTAAGCAGATTCCAAGATGTCAATGTTGCAGATGCAGGATCGTCACTTAGTTAGTAATATTTTATTGTATATGACAATTCAAATTTTTTTTTCTTTTTTTGTGTCAACTTCCCTTCTATGTATTTCTAGGAATGTTTCAATTTCATGTACTTTGTTAGTTCTTTGGCATGAAAGCTATAAAAAGAGTATTAGAACTACTTTATGTACATTGGATCTCTAGTGGTATCCTCCTTTTCATTTCTGATACTGTATTTGTGGGTTTAAAAAAAACTGGTCAAAGTCAATAATTTTTGCTTTGAAATAATATAATTTAGGGTTTTTATTATATCTATCGTTTGCTTCCTATTTCATTAACTTCTGCATTTATTTTCTTTTTTCCTTTTTTAATTTAAATTCAATCAGCCAAGGTATTTCAACTAAACATCATTAGTTTTTGGTATAATGTTCAATGACTCATTATTTCAGTATAACACCCAGTGCTCATCATATCACATGCCCTATTTAATGCCCAAACCCAGCTGCCCCATGCCCCACCCACCTCCCTTCCTGCAACCCTCAGTTTGTTTCTGAGTTAAGAGTCTCATATGGTTTGTCTCCCTCCCTGATTTCTTCCCATTCAGTTTTTCCTCCCTACCCTATTGTCATCTGTTCTATTCCTTATGTTCCACATATGAATGAAACCATATGATAACTGTGCAGTTATTTTATTCTTTTCTTTTGTTATTTTTAAATTTTTTAGAGGAAGGGGAGGGGCAGAGATAAAGAGAGAGGGAGAGAGAGAAAATCTCAAGGAGGCTCCATACCCAGCATGGAGCATGATAAAGGGCTCAATTTCAAAACGCTGAGATCATGACCTAAGTCAAAAATCAAGAGCTGGATGCTTAACCAACTGAGCTACCTGAGTGCCCCTATATTTATTTTGTATTTAATTTGCTGTTCTTTTAGTAGATTCTTCAAATTAACGCTTACATCATTGATTTTCAACCTTTCTTCTTCTCTATTAAATCTATCAGAAGCTATGAAACCTTACCTAAATACAAGTTGAACTGCATGTCACAAGTTTTCTAAACCTGTTTTCATTATTAGTTCAAAATATTTTCAAATTCTTATTGTGATTTTTTTATATCTTCTCCCCAGCTTTACTAAAGTAAAAGTGGCAACTAAATCTGTAATATATAAAGCAGACACCTAATTATTTGATATATGTATACTTTTTTTATTATGTTATGTTAGTCACCATACAGTATGTCATTCGTTTTTGATGTAGTGTTCCAAGAATCACAGTTTGCATATAACACCCAGTGCTCCATGCAATATGTGCCCTCCTTAATACCCATCAGAGGGTAACCCATTCCCCCACCTCCCCTCTCCTCTAAAACCCTCAGCTTGTTTCCTGGACTTCGTATTCTCTTATGGCATTGCTAAAGGATTCAGTTAATCAGTTTAATTAATGTGTCTATCACTTCACATAGCTACCTTTCTTTTTATGAGAAAAATTAAGATTACTCTCAGGAAATTTTATTTATAAAATATAGTATTAGGTTACAATGTTTCTTGCCTGAAAATCCAATATATATATGTATATTTATATTATATACATACATCTATATTATAGACATACATACATATATTACACATACATATTTATATGTAAGGCTAGGCCAGGTGTTGTTGTTTTTTTTAATTGGTTTTTATGCCATATTTTTACATCCCTTTGCTTTCAATATTTCTATAATGCCTTAATCTCTTTAATACTTAAAACTGGAGAATTTATTTTGTTTTGTTCATATTTTCTAATTTTTCTCTGTGGGATGTTCAGTCTACTAGAATCTGGAGAGACTGCTAAAAACAGCAGTCTAATTTTGATGCTTTCCATAAGACATATTTTCCATAATAATTTCTGCCATAGTAAAACAAGAAATAATAGGGATTTGAGAAGAGGCCCTTTGAATCAAAAGCCCCATCTGTAGATTAATGCAGAAAATAGTTGGACCTCAGTGACCTCTATTCTTCTTAGTATTCAGCTAGTCAACATATTTGAAATGATTTGAAGTTTAAAAGAGTTATTTCATCTAGCACTTAGAACAGTGCCTGACAAGTAGTAATTGCTATATAAGTATTTGTTATTATTATTGAATATTCTAGTCTATAACCTAATTTTTGATAAAATATATACAATTCACATGGACAAAATACCTGTGACAATGAATCCTGTTTCAGGATTTCTTGGTGCATTGAATCAATATGAAATATTTATTACTCACTATGTACATAAAAGATGTTTTGACAAAAAGTTATGTTGAACAATTTAAAATCATGTAGGATAACCCCTGACTCCAAAAGACTTAAAATGTACTTGTTAAGGAAACACACACACACACACACACACACACACAATTACACATTACTTGTTTAAATATCTTACTTTGAGAGAAAGAATTCTGTCTTATTTATTCGTGTCTCCTCTATGAAGCTTAGTACACATATCTGTATGTAGCCAACTCTCAAATGATTATGGAGTTAAAGTAAGCTTACAAAGTATCATATACTAAATTCTAGAAAATTATAGCTACAAAAAGCATCACCTTGTTTGAGTGATGAATGGGTAAGTTAGTGAATAGAAGTATAAACGAATGAACTAATTTTTTTAAAGAAGTGTATGGATAAAGAAGGTATATGTATACACACACACATAATGGAATATTATTATTCAGCCATTAAAAATAGTGAAATTTTGCCATTTACAATGACATGGATGGAGCTAGAGAGTATTACATGAAGCAAAATAAGTCAGTCGGAGAAAGACAAATACCATATGATTTCTCTCATATGTAGAATATAAGAGACAAAACAAAAGAGCAAAGAGGAAACTGAAAGAGAGAGAAAGGCAAACCAAGAAATGAACTCTTAACTATAGAGAACATACTGGTTACCAGAGGGAAGGAGTGTGGGGGGGAGAGGTAAAATAGATGATGGAGATTAAGTAGTGCATTTGCTGTGAAGAGCACCAGGTTTTGTATGGAAATGTTGAATCACTACATTGTATACCTGAAACTAATATTACACTGTACATTAACTAACGGGAACTTAAATAAAAACTTTTTAAAAAGAAAAAAAAAACTGCAACCAAGAAAAAAAAATAAAATTATCAACTCACAAAAATTAAAGAAATGTATTACGTAGATAAAGGGAGAAGTAAGTATGGTAGTAAATTCTAGGTAGAGAGTACAGTATGATTAAAAAAAAGAGGTGGAATCGCACATGAAACATTTAAAGATGAACGAGTAAAACTTCTTAGGGGTAATATAGGGGTCACACAGAACAGAAGGATAATAGATGATTACGGGCTAAGGAGGGTTGTGAATGATAACAATTTTAGACTATTTAGTGGGTAATAGTAAGAATTTGAAGTTTTCTCTTCAGCTTAATAGTTATTTTAGAATAATGCAACAATAGTGGTAAATTCTAATAGAGTAGAAAAGAGATTTGAGTCAACAAATCAATTGCATAGCTATACAAATATTCTATCTGTGTATAATAAAATATGGACCTGAATTTCAGTGTTGGCATTGGAAATGGTAAGGAGACTGATTATATAGGTGTTACTGAAAATAAATTTACAGGGTTTGATAAATAAATACATATGAGAATGTATGGAGAACATCACAACAAAATCATGTCTTACCTGTTCAGAGAAATGTTTCAGTAATGTGATAAATTTAATGAGGTGGCTTTTCAAACTGGAAAATTCTGCCATACCATCAAATGGAGGCCTGCCAGGGAAGGATTAACAAAAGGGCCAATCAATTCCATTTTCATTGAATGTCACATTTTTATACTTTAGGAAACTGGAAATTATAATCTATAATATACAGAGCTTTAGATCATTCTGAAAATCTGCCAAGGGTAAGCTAAATTCTAGACATCATGAAGTTAAACAAAAATAACGGAAAACTTACATGGAAGTTGATCAGTGTAATACATCTATGATCTCAGTAAACTGGTAGGATTGTAGGTCCACAGTTTACAATCCCTGTTTTCAAGTTACTATAAAAAGGTGGAAGACAGACTAGGTAATTTCAATTTTTTAATTTCTTTTTCCTTGGCTAACTTACTGTAGAAATGATTACATGAAAAGAACGAAAAAGGAAGAGAAATGTATTAAATATTAATTATGTAATCTACAACTAGAGTACCCATTCCTTGAAAAATAAAGATTGGTGGTATCTGGTAATTAATTTTATTTGCCACAAATTTAAAAAGGTTTATTTTACTTGGGACTCTACTGTCAGTTGATGAGTTTGGGCTTTATTATTTTTATGTAATATGATTTCAGGCTTCTGTGGTTTGGATACCTATAATCACAAGTAATAATTTGAATGAGGTGATAATACAGAGTACTGTTGTAAAATAATCACCCACTTCATCTATTTTATTACATTTGAAAAATGGGGAACAATTTTCAGAATGTCATTTGTAAAACAAATTAACAAGTATTACTGTGCTCAAAACACATTTATTCTCATATGAAAAATGAAGTTTTAGTTTTAAATTAGCAATAAAAATTTATAAGACCCCCCCCTTCCTAAGAGATTACAATCTCTGATGCTTACACAAAAGTGCGATTTTCTGGAAGTCTATTTCTAAAGCATATATGAACAAAGTTACTTAGGCATTTTTTCTGTTCTCATCCATTTCTAGACTTTAAAAAAATAGCCTGCTTCCCCCCCACACCTGCCTCCCTGCCTACTTGTGATCTCTCTCTCTGTGTCAAATAAATAAATAAAATTTTAAAAATCCAAGCAGTTAGAAAAGAAGGTGCTAAGATGAACCATAAATGTGCCATTTTCAAAAGCTGTTATATGATGTCATTTTGTATAGATTTTATCATTTCTGAAAGAGAAGTCTAACTGCTTACTACAAAATATTAAGAACTACTTACCATAAAATATCGCAAGAACAATATAAATACTTTTAATCTTATCTGGTTCCACTGATCAGAACAAAGAAGCCCTCAAATTGGTGATATAATGAAAATTTGCTAAAGCATGCTTATTAATACTGTAACCATGATGTGAATTTTGTAATGAGACTGCTTTAATAAACAAGAAAATCCAATACTGTGAATGATCAATTATCAGTGAAGCAGATTATATACATTTTGGGGGTCTTCTGTTGCCATCACTCAGTCCTGTGGCTATCTTTGTTGTATGCCCATTATTGCTTTCCCTATTTTCCTTAACATGAATTAATTCCAAGAATCTTGATTATTTTCTTTGTTTCAGCTTGTTGCCAGAGAGATAACTGTAAGGAGCTTAGAAGAGAGGGAGTAGCAGGGCTGATGAATTTCCTATACTTTATCTAACATGCAAACTGAAATTTCTTTGAAAAAGCAGGTAAGTCACTTCATCCTTTCTTCATGTGAACAAAATGAGTTTATAAATCAAGCATCAATAGAAATGTAAAGAGATGATAAAAATTCAGTAAGAGAACAGTTATCAGAGAAGAGAAGAGTATTATGACTTCTCTCTCTTACACTTCTCTCACTGGTCATAAAAGGAGGCCTCCCTCTCACAATTTAATTTCTCTATCTTAGGGATATAACACTTTCTGATAGCAAAAGCAAAAGCCTAGGACTAAATACCTATATAATATTTCATTTGTGTGTAAAATATAGAGTTGACTGTAGTCTTGATCAAAATAGCAACTAGGAAATTTAAATTTTTTCAAGAAACTAAAATATTATTATGTCCCTTACAGGTTATTATCAAAAGAAGATTAGAAATCGTTAGCCTTTGATTTCTAAAGACTCCTCTTAGTAACACAGAATTTTAAAAGTATTACGGATTATGAAAAATTCCTAATATAATTAATACATAAAGAAAAAAATCACTATTTTGTTGCTATAAATAGTCCAGATGTGGTATTTTAGAACTGTGGTGTAACTTTTGTATATTCCTAAAGGACTGTAAAAAAAAAAAAAAAAAAAAACAAGTGTTTCTAATGCAGCAGCAGAGTTTGGTCTATAAAGGAAGCCCAAAGTGAGTCCTTCGTAAAACAAATACTAATTCTGTAAAATGATTTACTTCTGTAAAAAGTCAGATGATCACATATTGGCTCATTTAAAGGGAGTTAGATAAATGTTTTTCACCCTAGGGAGATATTCAGAACATCAATAAAAATTTGTAATTGCATTTGAAAGATACTGTGGAAATAAAATCCAATCCATACATAAGTTTTCTCTGAAGAGGAAGAAAGGGGAAGAAATGCAACTAAAGGTTTTACAGATAACATATTTGGTATTACCTTTCCAGAATGTTTAGTATCATCTTGACCATATTAATCAGTTCAAGAACAGTTGTAAGAATGTTACGAGGTGGTTGTTCATTAGTGCCATGTAGAGAACGGGCCCTTCTTCTTTCCGATATCATGACAAGAACACGATCAATAGCATGCTCAACATGTTCACTTTGTTTTCTGAATCTGGTAGGCATCTTTTTGTCATTCTGAAATTAAAGTGGGAATTTGGGGAAAGAAATGAGGCAGCACTTATCTAACATGCTATAAATATGGAGTAGGTTCAATAGCAATACCATTTAGCCAAAGTAACATAAGAGGGATATAAAATTACCATCAAACACTTTCCATTCTTTACATATTGCTTTTGGTAATCTAATGCCATTCATGGTAGTAATTACATAAAGGACATGAAAGGAATACGGTTCAGCCATATGAATACTGAGGTATGTACTTTTATAATGTGACAATAACTACATGCCAACAATTAGCACATGTTAACTCTTGTACTGCCCAATTAGTATACCTATCTCATTTACTTATTAGAGTATAATCTACTGAGGGAAGACTCCATATTATTTTGTATTCTGGACAGGATTGGATATAGAATGAAGAAACAGGAAAGGAGATCCTTACTTTTCATTTATTTCAGAGCCTTGAAAACTATGTATAGTCCATTCTAAGAGCTGATAATTTAAATATACAGGAACCGTAAGAATATTAATCGGGCACTGGTATTTCAATGTACCACTTCAAGTGACTTCAAGACACTTGTTTCATATTCATATTTTCTTTGCATGAACATGTATACACACACTCCCACTCTTTATGCTTTTGTCCAGGGCCTCATCAAATGGCTATCAGAAATAACCACAGGGTTGTGATAATGGCCTCATGCAACCTCCTTTTTGGAAGAAGTTACTCTACCTTCCTGGTTTAATGGTCAGTGAATAATCTGTGATTTACTAAGTAGTGAAGAAATCTACTAAAAAAAGACCTGCCCTTTTTAGTTTATGAAGTCCTGAGGTGCAAGGAATTTTATTTAATTATGTAAGAAATGTGTTTATGATTATTTTTATCCTACATCCAATAAGATATGTGAAAAGATCATATTAAAAGGACTTCTATGAAACCAGAGAACCAAGTATACATCTCTCCAATAATTACTTCTTCCTGATGTAAAATCTATTATGTGATATGTTCAAATGTTTACACTTAGTGTTTCTCTTTAAAAATCATAAATCAAGGGGTACCTGGGTGGCTCAGTGGGTTAAAGCCTCTGCCTTCGGCTCAGGTCATGATCCCAGGGTCCTGGGATCGAGCCCCTCATCGGGCTCTCTGCTCAGCAGGAAGCCTGCTTCCCTTCCTCTCTCTCTGCCTGCCTCTCTGCCTACTTGTGATCTGTCTGTCAAATAAATAAATAAAATCTTTAAAAAAGAAATAAAAATAAAAATAAATAAAAATCATGAATCAACATAAAAATAGGCCCTCTCAGATTTCTGACGAATACCTTTGTTTTGGTAGCACCCACTTCCTGCAAATAAACTTGCTAAATACAGTTGCTGATTGAAGAAGTAAGATTTATATTTGGACACTTTTCCTTCTTTCAAAGGGTTTTAGAATATGAAAAATAAAGTAATGGAAAATGATGGATTCTACTTTTCTTATTTACAGATGTCATAATGAAGTTATCACTGCCAGCATTTAAGATATAAACATCATTAGTATGGTTTTACTTCCATCTTCTGCTTTGCGTTTTCCAGCTTTTACTGATAATTATCTGAGATTTTAGATACAAATTATTATCATTAATATTAAAATAAATTAATGCTATGGGATATATACTTTATCTTTCCAGAGTTTTTTAAAATTCTATAGTAAGTGTGTAACTATATTAACAAAGATTATTTTGACAAACTGTGCTTTAATACTTTCATTGCTCGTTGCTGAGCAACATACTACCACATATCTGTAGTTGGGAGTATTTAATTTTATTCATCCTTTGGTCACCTGAAGTGTATTTCCCAGTAATTTTAAGGAATTAATGGGTAATATATTCCCTGACTTTGTAGTCTTAAGGATATTTTTCAGTTCCCAACTCGCATAAACAGTTTCTCAAGGTCACACAGATAATTATTAGCAGATCTTATCCTGGAAACAGAAGCCTTCTGATACTGCTCTTTCTACTACATTATTAAATGTATTTACCTCTAGAGGGCTAAGGAAATATGGGAAATTTTTGTGTGTGCCATGCTATTGTCAGTGTGGTGAAATGGAAAGACAATTAGGTTCTCTGTGAGATCTGAATTTGTACAAATCATTAAATGTCTCAGAGCCATGTTTGTTTATTTCTCTCTAAAAATGTAGATACTAACACCTGTTTTATCCATGCATAGGATTGTTAAAGATATCAAATATATAAATAAAAGTAATTATTATTTCTATATAATTATTATATACCAAAAAAGTCCCTATTTTAAAATAATTCTTAACAACCAGACCCTATGTGGTGGGCAATCTCTTCATAATCCTAAAGAAATTTCAAGGAAATTAAAGTTTAGACCATCTGATATTCTAAGTAAGTTTGAATTGACTTTCCTAATGTATTTTTGAAAATTCTATTAATATTAAATAATTGATAAATACTATTCTTGTTTTGTTTGATACTTCACCAGACCTTCTTTAAAGAGTGAAAATCAGGTATGTGTCTTCTCTTCTTTATTTTTTGTTTTAAAATCATCTTGCTGAAAGCAAACTCAAAACAATTAGGTCAAGTAACTTACACTTTGGTAATCTTTAGAAATGAGAAATGAAAACCCAGGAGTGCCATAATAGTGATTATTTTAGCATGAATAACTAACAGCAAATAATGTCATTTAAAATGTAAAAAATTCTATCTTGTTGAAATTTTTAAAAGCCATTTATTAGCGTAGTAATGGAAAATTTTCATTATTACATATATCAATGAAGTCACAAACGTGTCCAACAAAAAGTGTTTCTCAAGTGTTAGCTTACAGTCAAAATTGAATTTCTTTAAAAAAATTTAAGTATTCTTTACTCCAATTGGGGCTTGAACTCATCACCCCAATATCAAGAGTCACATTCTCCACTAGTGGAGCCAGCCAGTCACCCCCTGAATTTCTTCTGAAGCCATGAAGGTCATAGTGCCCCAAAAGATATTTATTTACATCAACCCCTTTGTGATCCTATAAGCATGCTGACAGCTAAAATGAACCCTTCATATTTCCATTAAGGCTTGAGTTACAGACTTTGTAGATTCCATTATGACTCATGAAATTAAATAAATCCATTTTTGTCCACTTGACAGTTATTTTTGTTAGTATATAATCTTCACTAGTTTTACAGGGCTTTCAAGAACGAAGAACAGTGGGGCACCTGGGTAGCTTAGTCGGCTAGGTGTCTGCCATTGGCTCAGGTCATGATCACAGGGTCCTGGGACTGAGCCTCACATCAGGCTCCCTGCTCAGTGAGGAGTCTGCTTTCCCCTCCCTCTCCCTCTCCCCCCCCACTTGTGCTGTCTCTCAAATCAATCAATCAATAAATAATAAAAAAATAACTGATGACAGTAACAATAGTAGAAAGAAATAGCACGTGTACATCTTTTACTTTTCAGAAACACACTTTATCCCATCAAAGCTGTCAAAGGAGTCTATTCTCTATGTACCACCAGCTTCCTCCAATATTCTCGATATTTCTAGTGGATTGATTATGTGTGCTGCGTGTTCTAACATTATTCTGCCCAATATATATGTTGCAGGAATAACAGCTGAATAAATTTACTGTAGCACACACAGTCAGAATTTAAGGATGGAACAGACCAATTTAACCATCTGTATGTTATGTGTATATAAGTGATAGCTACAATATGGAAATTTTCTCAAGTGTTTATGTAAAAGGCATTGGGAATTTGTGTGATTCAAAATTAGCTAAATATTATACCAAATTATTGTCTTCATTTAGATACCATAGTCTTGTAGAAGGGTAGAGGAACCATTTCAAATTCCATAATATGGACATGGCTTATTGCCAGAGTAAGGCTGCAATATAAAATTATTTGTATCTTGCATCATAAGTAAGATATACAGATCTTCATATTTGGCCTTATATATATAAAACAGAAAAAATACTTGTTTATACTTTCTGCTTAATTTTTCTGTTATCCATTGAGTGGAAGCATCCACCTACATTGTCATTTGCCTAAAATCAGCCAAGAATGCACAAAGACTAAAGTCAGAACATGGAGAAATATTTTGTTTCTAAGACCCGTAGATAAACGTATAATTTGGAAGTCTCCTACTGTGGTGCAAATGGAATTATATAGGACAATCATTTCCCAAAGAACACAAAGTCTTAATCTATATGATGTTAATAAATGGCAGATTCTGATTAAAAATTTCTACATTGCTTAGCGATTATCTGACACAAGCTCCTGATGTTTTTTTTTTTTTTTAAAAAGAACACATCCACAACAGTTGTACTTTCCAAAAGCAATACATTTCTGGCTTTCATTACAGAGTTATAAGCAGTATAAAAGAGTTCCTAGGCACTCAGATACTCTTCTCCAGCACTGGACTTATAGTCAGAGATCCTTACAATTTATTAACCATACAATTGATCCACTCAATATTTAATTATCTTATTTATAAAACAGAATTCTTCATGAAAACTCTAGGTTGTGATCTAAGATTGAAGGTCAGAAATGCTTAGTTATACTTAAGGATATGATGGATTAATGATGTGAAATAACTCTTTAAACTCTTAAATAAATTTATAGATGTAATTCATTCTTTTCATGACTACTGTCACTAATTATTATGACATTAATAATAAGATATCACAAAAAAGTAACCTAAAAGTTTTATGATTAAACAGTGTTAAAACAAAAGTATTTATAAAAAGAGAGAGAGGCAAACCAAGAAACAGACTTTTAACTATAGAGAACAAACTAATGGTTACTGGAAGGGAGGTGGGTGGGAAGAAGGGTTAAGTAGGTGATGGGAATTAAGAAATGGAGTTGTCATCATGAGAACCTGGTGTTGTATGTAAGTTCTGAATCACTAAATTGTACACTTGAAACTAATATTAGACTGTATGTCAACTACAGGAATTTAAATAAAAACTTGGAAAGAAAAAAATTTTTTTAATATTATTACATGATATTTATTTTCTTCCTTTCCAGCACAGTTAC